AAGGGTTCCGTGCTTTCAACAAATTCCCCAAAAATAAAAAAAAAAAAAAAAAAAAACCTTGGGAAATTTAAAACCGTGGGTGGATTCACACGGATGGGAGAGTGAGGTCCAGGGGAGGAGTGGCAGAAGGTCTGTCTGATTGCAGCGCTGCAGCGCAGTTCTGGTGGCGACCTCCCAGACTTAGCAGACCCTACGGATTCAGGACACAGACCCCAGCAAGACCACCCCCACTTCCAACATCAGCTAAAGTTCAAAGGTCCCTAGACCACCGACACTCCTGAGCAGCTGGCTGCAAATTCAGGGGTTCCCAGGACCCCTCCCCAAGTTTGATAATTAACTAGCACGACTTACAGGACCCAGGAGAGCACTGTATTGCAATGACAATTTTATAGAAAGGATGCAAATCAGGACCAGCCAAATGAAGAGACATAAAGGACAAAGTCTGGGAGGGACTGGACGTGGAGCTTCCATCCCCTCTTCCTGCGAAACCAGGGCCCATCACCCTCCCAGCACATCAGTGTGTTCACCAACCAGGCAGCTCCACCGACCCCAGTGTCCGCACTTTTACTGGAATTCATTGCTAGCTTTCACTGGATTACTGGCCAAGTGATTGGACTGTCTCCAGCCCCCCTCCCCTCCCTAGAGGTCAAGAGGTCTGGCTGATACCAGCGGCTTGAAGACCAGACAAGCTGTATTATACAGCACTGACTCTTAAGTGCCCCATTTTTGGTGCAACCTTGTCCAGCTGTAGCAGGCCTGTCTGGGTGGCGGGGGTCTGGGCTGAATGGCAGGCTGAGTGCACTGGGGAGGTCACGTTGGCCAGAGGAGGGCTGGCAGGGCATGGCGGGTGCAACAGGTACCAGAATCACTCCTTCACATCTCCCGAAGGGAAGGGATGCTGGACCAGGGTTCAGTGTGAGGATGAGTCTGTGGGTGAGGCTGCCCGGGGAGGTGCTGAGCTTTTCCTCACAGGGGTATCCAAGCAGTGACACAGGAGACCCTGCCTGGGAGTGAGGCCAAAGGCCAGACTCTCAGGGCACCACCCCCTCCATCAAGTGGGTGAGGATTTGGTGTCCCTCCTGGCAGCGGGCATCTGTGCCTGACACAGAGCTGGGCTTACAGGGCCAGGGAGGGAGGAGGCACAGCCCTGCCTTGGATCAGAGTTTCAGGAGCTGAAAAAGCCCTCAGACTACATTTAGACCCCCCATCACTTCCTCTCTGTCTTCTTATGGGGAAGCGGAAGCCCAGAAAATGTAATGATTTCCCCACAGGCACTGAGCAGGGCTCCCAGGCCAGAGTGCTTTCTGCGGTCCTGTTGTGTCTTCAAGTATGGATTTATGAGGCCCGTTCCCCTCTGAGCCAGGGCAGGGTTATTATTCCATCTCAGATGAGAAAACAGGCCTGGGGTGGCAGGGGTCCCTCAGCTGGAAAGGCTGCGGGCAAGGAGGAGGGGATGCCTCTCGCTGTGCGGTCTTGGGCACGTTACTCACGTTCCCGATGCCTCAGTCTCCCATTCCTGCAAGTGGGATGATGGAAACAGTGCCTCCCTCAGGGATGTCGGGCGGGTTACCTAATGTGAGGACGGGCTCTGTGGAGTCTGCAGGGATACAGACGTTAGTGTAAAGCTGGGTCTGGTCCCCGAGGCCCCGACTCCAGGGTGAAATGGTGTCAGCCAGAAACCTTGGACCTTCCCTACATCAAGATCTTGCCACAATCAGTCCCAACTGTGTCTACAGCTCCGTAGGAAGGCCCCCAGACCACGTGCTCTGACCCTGGCCAGTGGAAGTTATACAGCATCCTGGAACCGAGAGTGAGGGGGTCAGCTCCGCTGGGCCAGGACCAGGCTGGTTTCGCTCCTGGCTGGATCCTCAGAGCCCAGAGCAGCCCCCAGATCACACATGTGGGTCAGCAGGACAGCTGCCTGGGAGGTAGAAACCCCAGACCTTGACTGTCCAGAGCCAGGAGCGCCCACTGCACAGATGTGCAGACTGAGGCCCAGGGGGAGAGCTGGGTGGTACCGGGGAGCCCTGGAGGGACCTTGGTGATAGCCCCACTTGTGTTTTGCAGGCCTGAGCTGCTCACCGAAGGAGTCAAAGAGCCCCTCACAGACAGCCAAGGTACCCTGCGCAGGGTCATGGGCCGAGGCGTGGGCCGGGCGTGGGAGGGGTCCCAGGCTTCTGCCATCACCCCTCCTCCTGATTCCTCTGTCCTCGTCCCGTTTACCCTGGCATTCCCCCATTGCCCTCCCTGCTGGGTTTGCCCCCACCAGATACCACCTCTGTCCCGGGTCCCAGGAGCTGCCTGCTCACCCTGGCTTCTCTCCCCCCCGCCCCCAGAGAGGGATTCCGGGGACCCTCTTGTGGACGAGAGCCTGAAGAGACAGGGCTTTCAAGGTAAGGTTGCAGCTCAGGATGGGGTCCGCAGTCCCAGTGCCATGACATTGACCTGGCTTGGGTTTGGAGGGCCAGGCTAGGGGTGGGAGGGGCTGGCCGCCAACCTCAGGGCCCCGGGGTCTGAGCGAGGCCGGCGGGCAGCCAGGCAGGGCTGGAGTTTGCCAGCCCCAGTGAGAGGCTCCGCAAGGTGGCTGGGGGTTCGGGGGTACAGGGCGTGGGAGCCGGCCTGCTGTCCGTCTGGGGAAGCAGCTGACCTGCCCGCTTCGTATTAGGCAGCCGGCCGTGCTCTCAGTGCTTTGAAATCAGAGGAGAGGAGGTCGCGGAGGGCAGGGAGGGCTCTCCCAAGAAGGAGGACCCTGGTTGGGCCAAGGAGGGGTGGGAGGACGTGAGCCTGGAAGAAGAGGCGTGGAAGATGGGGGAGGCCTGAGTGCAGGACGCGGAGAGGACCGGCCGTGAGAAACAGACGCAGGGAGGGGCCAGGGGCCGACAGGGGAGGCTCCCTCCCCACAGTGGAGGCTGGTATTACCTTTTGGTTAATATCAAGCGTAGTATTGGTAGGGGCTGCGGTGGCTGAGAGCAGCCGTCCACGTGCATGTCGGGGCAGCTCTAGGGTGTGGCTGTGAGTCCCCTAGGGTGGGTGCTCCCCATGTGGGCCCTGGGTGGTCAGTGTGACCCAGAGGAGAAAGTGGGGTCAGCCAGACCACGGGCGGGAAGGGCCAGCCCCTGTGGGTGGAGGAGCCCAAATCCCAGAGGGGCACCTGCTTACCCGCCCCCCCACCCCCAGCCTCTCAACTCCTTCCTGGGCAGCCGGAACTTTCTGGGACGGGGGAGTTCCGTCTCTCACCTCACCCTGTGACCCCTCATACTCAGCCCTCTTAGCAGACTGGGGTCCGACCAGCCAGAGACCCACCCCCTCCCTCCTCCATCCTCCACCTCTCTCTTCCCACAAGGCAGTGCCAGGTTCTCATCTCCCCAAGGCCGGGGGCTCGTCCAGGGGTCTCATGGCAGGTGCTGGCACGCGGGCTCCGTAAGCGATAGCCTCTGGGTGAGTGAGTGACCACGGGGACCTGCCAGGCCGGCTCCTGCCTCCGCGGGGCCGCCCTGTCCGCTGAGCTCACGTCCCTGCGCTGCCTCCTGCCTCGCCTGTCCCTGAGCGAGGCCCCACTCCACCTGCCGGTGACGCAGGAGGCTGCTCCCCTCCGTGACGTCTCTCACCTCCAGGGCTGGCTCCCTGGTGTGGGTTTCAAATGTCAGCAGTTAGTTTCCTACTCATCGCTGTTGTCGCAAGAGTTGTGCGTCCTTCCGGAAAAAACACACGTCTCCGTCAAGAAGTTAGTGCTGGAGGACTCCAAGGGGCCCACTCCACGGAGCTGATAATTGCCTGAGAAGGAGTTCCCCATAGTTAGGAAATCATATTCCTTTAAAGTCACCAAGTGCCTTTTCATTTAACAGCCCAAATCCGTAATTGTTTTTCACTTTGCAGAAAATTATGATGCCAGACTCTCACGGATCGACATTGCCAACACGCTGAGGGAGCAGGTCCAGGATCTGTTCAATAAGAAATACGGTGAGCCCCGGGACACCCTGGCGGGAGGGAAGAGAGGCAGGAGCAACCCGGTTCTGGCCGTGGTCTCCTCTGGGAAGACCGCTCACCTGCATACAAATACGTCTTGAGCACTTACTGTGTGCCAGGCATTGGGGAAAAGGCAGTGAAGAAAACACGCAGTCTTGTGGGGACTTCTCTGGTGGCCCGGTGGTTAAGACTCCGCGCTTCCACTGCAGGGGCTGCGGGTTCGATCCCTGGTCGGGGAGCTAAGATCCCACATGCCAAAAACAAACAGACAAACAAAAAAAACCACGCAGTCCCTGCCCTCGGGGGACCCTGCAGACCAGTGACGTGAGACCGACATTGAACAGCTCTACCCAGAATCCGGCGACAGTGAGGCATTGTCTCATGATTATGCAGAAAAAGAACAGGCTGCTCAAGAGAAAATAGCTTTCCTTAGATTGGAAGCCAGGGAAGGGCTCTTGGAAGAAAGAACTGAACGATGGGTAATCAAGCAGAGTGTGAAGGAAGGGCATTCTGGCTGAGGTAATGGCATGTGCAAAGCCCCTGAGGCTTGTCTCAAGAAGGAGCCAAGGGAATTCCCTGGCGGTCCAGTGCTTAGGACTTGGTGCTTTCACTGCCGTGGGCCCTGGTCAGGGAAGTAAGATCCTGCAAACCGTACGGTGCAGCCA